TTAACATTTTATTAAAATATTTTAAAATTTAAAAAAGTTTGCAGGCAAATTTGGCTGCAAAACAATTTAAGGGATAATGTGTATATTTTATATCAATTTAAATCTTAAAAAAAGTTAAAGAGTAAATTGGGTTCTCATTTTAAGATATTTCGATCAGAGTTTTACTGCTATAATAATAGTTTATGTAAAGCTCTTTTTGAGAGTCAGTGGTTGAAGCTGTTAAATAATTATTTGTTTGTTTTAAAGTATTTAAATGATATATTATATAAGATTAAAAAATCATGGCAATTCTGTAGATTAATAAATATTTTACAGAAGGTGCACAAAGCACTCAAAGAATTAAGTTAGTTAATTTCAATATACATCAAAAAGTTGATTTCTCAACTTTGTTATATGATTTACTAATTAGTCTTAGTGATTATATTAAGCAAAGTAAATTTTTGCTGAATTTTGAAATACAATACAATGCTATTTCAGCTATTGGATTACCAATGTTAAATCGTCGCTTCTGATGTTAATAAAGTATTAGAAAAGTTTTTTACTTCTAATATGCTAAATAAACAAAGAGATCAAATAAATGAAAGTATATGCTATGATGTTAATCAAGTTCATAAATAGCAAAATTTGATTGAAGTAAGTTGTATGCTGTTTTTAGTATATATTATACAGTATAGTACTAATATATTTTTTAGTATAATATAAATAATATGCAGATAGCCTTTGGATCAGAGAGCAAGATTCTGACACATATCAAATTCTATTTAAACAAATGATACAAAATATATCATTTAACTTAATCCTTCAAGTGTGGCATATGCATGCTATGGGGCTGTAAGGCATAGTTATTATATTATATTATTTAAAGATAGCACTTACTTATGTAGTTGTTTTTTTTTAATTAATAAGAGTTTGATTTGTTATCATTTTTTTCACGTTGATACATATTCTCTGTTGGCTATATTTTATGTAACTCTTATCCCAAGTCAGTGGTTTTTAGATATTAAAATCAATACAAAAAATTTACTTAAAAAGATTCTTGCTATTACTATTTCTGAGCAGTATCAAGAAACTTCTGAAGTCATGCTGAATATTATACTACAACTAGAGATGCAGACATTTAAAAATTTGAAGATAGCTACCTTGCTAAAAATATGACGGCAATACGGCACATTTGCCGTATAAATAAACATGCCGTATGCCATAATAGGTGCTGTATACTGTATTTGGTGCCGTATGTCATATTAGGTGCCGTATGCCGTATGGTGCCATATGCTGTATTGGTGCCATATATCGTATAAGAGCCATATGTCATAAATGTTGTATGTTGTATAAGCATTGTTATGTAAATACCGTGTATCGTATAAGTTTCATTCATATGTTACATATCATATGTTGTGTAGTATAAAATGCTGCACGTTATACGTATAACGATTAATGGATAGTTTGGGCCGGTTTTGAGCTAGTTCGAAAAGCATAGGTTTGTGATTGGAAGAATGCCGGCTCAAAGGCACCAGAAATAAATTCAATTAAAGGACTTTAAGTCCGCAGAATACATTGAGAGTAATTTGAGCTGAGTAATTTGAACTAAAACGATGATATGCTCCCGGGAAAATTAGCAAGTGAGATTGCATCGGCTATCATTGTAACAGTAGAACGTAGCATCAGCCGGTGGTTTTCCTCTTGCTCGAAACAGGCTGATAATTAGGCAAATGGCAGGATCAAACAAGTAATTTAAGGAATATTTATTTTAGATTAAAGTTTGTAAAATAAACAAGTAGATTTGTTTTAGAGAACCACGGTTTTAGATTAAAGTTTGTAAATAACAAGTAATTTAAGTAATACATATTTTAGATTAAAGTTTGTAAAATAACAAGTAATTTAAGGAATACCTATTTTAGAGAACCACGGTTTGGACCTTGAATCTAAAATGTAATTCTAGACCCTTTTATCTCGTGCATAAACCACAAACAATGATAATACGTACGTACAGTACGTAACTAAATTTGGCAATCGCTATTGACAGGTAATAAATTCCGAGAACTACATATTATTTGAAATTCTGCCGTTTTTTGTGATCGCAGTAAGTCATTGATCCTGTATCAGATCAATTCTTGAGATTTTAGAAAAGTAACATATGAATATACATAATATAAATATTATCCAAGTAACATATACCATAATTTTCAGCAAATAGACCCCTTGTTAAAGTACCTGCCTACCATCAAGTTAGTTAGTAAATTGCCAGTTTCGGGGGAGAAGGGTTTACTGAAAATTATAGTTCTATTAAAAGTAATCAATATTGATTCATATATACTTTAAATATACAATATCTATTTTTTTAGAATTAAGTTTAGACATAATATATCAAATTTAAATTATTATTTACAGGTTTAAACCCGGCAATTCAAATATATTGTACTAATATAGTATTCCTTAAACATCTTGCATTGCGAGAACCAATGGTTTAAAAATCCACATATATATAATTTATGTTTATACGTGTATTTGTCTATTTTTTAATAACAGTATCAAATTTTTAGTTATGGAGGCAAATGAAGAAAATTCACGAAAAAGAAATACAGATTTGGTAGAAGAAACAGAAAATAGCTCGGAATCAGAAGAATATGCAACAAATAGTTCTAATCAACAATCTTCAACTAAAAAAAAATCTAGACAGTTTGCTGAAGTATGGGATTATTATATTAAGGGAACAGAAAAAAGTCACGGGCATTATGAAGCTACTTGTTATTATTGTATTTCTAAAAAATCTTGGGCAAGAGGAAAACCAGCAAAATTAGAAGCGCATTTGGCAAATGAATGCCTTAATTGTCCTGAAAATATATCACGATATTGGCGTGAAAAAGTAGCAGAAAGAAATTCAAACTATACGCGAAAAACAAAAGCCTTATCAAATCAAACAGCAATAACATTTCATTTTTCATCTGATCGTCCATTACCAAAAGCTACAACTAATAAACTTGATCAAAAAATAGTTAAAGCTTGGGTAATAGCAGGAATTCTCTTTGAAGTTATTGAAAATCTATTTATTAAAGATATGTTTAAAGAGTTTTTACCTGCATACAATCCACCATCAAGAACAACTTTATCAGGCCGATTACTAGATGAGGAAATAGCACGAATAAATTGTGCTATTGATAGAGATATCAATAAAGCTGTCCATTTAACTCTAGGTTAGTATATATATATTTGATACTATTACTGTATAGCGCTATATAATTTAAATCAATGATTGTGTTCTCACATGATCAATACTTGCTTCAATATACCCCCTTGTATAGTATCCTCTTCTCACATGTACTCCTAGAAGTATTATTTAATTAATCTTAAATTTTTTGTAAAAGACGAAGTACTATATGTAGCGCTATACAGTAACTGTTTTTTAATTAAAAAATACAATTTGGTTTTTGTATATGTATCTCTATGTATGCTAAAAAGTATGCATATATAAAATAATATGGATGATCAAAGAATGCATACGTATTATGTATTAAATTATACTTAATTTTGTAATTAATTATTATATATTTAATAAAGCTTTAGACAGCTGGACGTCACCAACCATGGAGTCAATTTATAATTATATTATTACAACGGATACGCAAAAAGAATATTTAGTTAGTTTAAAAAATTATTCTTTATATTCTCAGATGGGTGAATTTTTAGCAGATGAAATCTCAACGATTATTGAAAGACTTGGCTCAGATAAGTTTGCAGCTGTTGTTACAGATACAGCTTCAAATTGTAACCTGGCACGTCAAAAAACACAAGAAATGTATCCGCATATTTGGAATGTTCAATGTGCAGCTTATGCGATTAATCTTATTGCTGCTGATTTAGTTAAATTAGACCAATTAAAAAAACTAATTGCTAATTGTGGAAAAATTAATCATTTTTTTAATACTTCTCATTTAAGTCATTCATTGCTTACTAAAGGATTTACAGATATGAAAATTAAAGGTGGCGGGCTAAAAACATGGATAAAAACTCATTGGGGGTCTTTATATTTTACTACAGATTCAATGCTTCGTGCACAGCCCATATTTGATTGGGTAAGTATAATTATTAAATATTTTTATAATTGTTATATAATACATTAATAAAAATAAATTATTTTTAGTTACTTTCCGAGCATAATGAGGCAATTACAAATCAAGAAATAGCTAATTTAATAGCTAATCAAGATTTTTTTATTATATGTCAATTAGTACGTTCTGTTTGGCAACCTATAAAAGAAGTAATATATGCATTAGAAACTAATGAAGCAACATTAGCTGATTGCTTCGCGTATCTAATCAAGTTAGCTGTTGCTATTAAACGCTTGCCTGAAATAAATACATTTAAGGCCTCCACAATTTATATTTTTAATTGACGGTATGAAGAATTTTTACATCCACTTTATATTTTGGCATATTATATTCATCCACGGTATAGAGATATATACAATTACGTATTAAGCAAACAAGTTTGTAGATCACAATATTTTTATACTACGTATACATACATTTTATATTATAATATACAATAAATAAAACTAAGTATTCTATTTTATATATAATTTATTTTTAGGAAAGGGTCTAAAAGACAATAGGTTTCATAAAGCGGCCCTTACATCTCTTGAGCTCTGGCAAAGTCTTGGGCACACCCAGTTAGAAAGTGAAGAATTAATTGCGCAAATGCAACAGTTTGAGGCACAATTACCACCATTTGATCTTCCTTATGTTTCGGGCATAGATACTCTAAAAATTTGGTGGGGATCTTTTAAAAATCGACCTCGACATTTAGCTGAGTTAGTCTATAGAATTTTTTCAATTAATCCTACACAAGCTGGCTGCGAGAGAAACTTCTCATTGTTAAAGTGGATTTTAGGGGATCATCGCACTAATTTGAGCATAAACAGGCTAGAGGGAATGTCTAAAATTAGGTCATATTATATGACAAATATCCAACGTGAGCTAAACTTTTCCGATAAAGAATTAACAGAAGCTGATCTTCGAGATGCATGTTATATATCTTCAATTGGTAATATTATGAGTTATGAGGAGGATCAAATAAGTGTTGATGATGAGACTTCAGATATATCTAATGATTCTACAACCTTATTAATTAATGAGATCGTTGACTTGGAAATTGAAGAAAATTCAGAATCCCCGTAGCAGAAACAGCCCAAGCTGTTTTATCTGAGGATTTTGATTATGATCCTTCTGATGTATTAAATAGCTTTTTAGAACGTGAAAAGCAAAATAGATAAAATAATTTGTATGCGCAATTAAATAATAAATATTAAATAAATGCTGTAGCTTAAATAAATCCTACTTCTAAAACAATTATTAAATTGCAATGTTTAAAATAATAAGTATAAAAATATCTGTGAAATTCAAATATTCGAGCTTTCTCAATTTCAGATATTAACATTTTACAACTAAGGCCACGCAAATTTAATTTATTGGTTCTCGTAACATGAAACTTTTTAAATAGACCCGGCCGGCCAGCTTTTTTTTTTTAAATTTATATATAATAATTTATAAAATTTTTTTTAAAAACTTACCCGGTTATTAAAACATATAAAAAATTTTTTATAAAAATTTTCAAATTTTGACCCGGCCGGGTTACAAGAACCAATTAATTAATTTTACATGGCCTAATGGTGCTGGTGGAGCAAATTTCTTAAAGCATCGAAAATGTTTTAAGATTAAATATGTGGTAATTTATAAATAACTTAGTTTATAAATCGTATAATTAAACTACTTAAGTTTATCTCTAATGCATATAAGCAAGATAATAAGCTTATAATCTGCAAGCATTGAGGTAAGGTATAAAAACTATATAGAAACAAGATTTTATCATAAACAATGTCAGTCGTGTGATTCACAAAAATGAGTATTGACAACTAGTCAAAATTAAAAAAATTAGCACGTTAAATTGTTTCTTTTTAATTTTAAACAGTATAATTAATATACTTCCTGGTATACTACTATTCAAGAGATTCTTGGAGAATAACATATGGATAAAAAAGTGAAATAAGCCTATGAAAATTATATTCAATTTCGGCTTAAGAAAAAATTGAATAAATTTCATATACAGTAAATATATTGATATAAAGCAAACCTTTCTATACTAACCAACTCAAAAACATTTCTAGAACCAAACTCCAATCTATCTCAAGCATTAACTTAGATCACTCACCACCAACAAACTTAAATATTATTCTAAAAAAAAAAGTCATTCGTTAGAAACTATTTTACTTAAATGTATATTAAAATTCAGAAGTTTTTTCTTATCTGTTATCGTTATATTTCGTCACAAAGAGGTTATATAGAGTTGATTATATTACAACTTCAACAGTAAATGAACCAATAAATTATGTTATATTGTTTCTTATAAGCTAACCACAAACTGGATCTTTGAGATTCAGAATGAGCATACATACGTTGCTTATGCCCTGCAACTTAAATCGGGTAAATAGTAAAGTAATACAGTATGGAAATGCAATTAGAATGGAACGTAGAAATTATAGTGTGTATGATCTATAAAAGAAAAATGCCTTTTAAATCACAGCATGCACATAAATTATAGTATACAACAGTGCACAACACCAGTCACGGCGCACAACACCAGTCACGGAGCACAACACCAGTCACGGCACACAACACCAGTCATGGTACACAACACCAGTCACGGAATACAACACCAATCACGGCATACTACACCTATTACACATTCACGGCATACTATCTTACTACTACATATGGCATAACGACAATATGATATAAAGGTAGTACGGCCTTCACGTCATAGCCATAATGTCGTGGGTAGTGACTACTCTAAGAAATGTTTGCATCATTAACTACAACATCTATTTTTAGTTTATTCTAATAGTATTTTAAATTTGGAATCAGCCTCTAAACCAACTAAGGTGATATATGCAGAATTATTTAGGCTATCTAAAAAAGCAATTAATTATGCAATTATTGCTAAAATTTATTTAGAATTGTCCAATATGCTTAAAAAGTTTATTTAAAAAGCACAAGCCAAAGTAAATGAGAATCAATTTTAGAATATAATGATGCTAACAATCCTAACATTACAAGACATAAAGGAAGACGCCCAAATCAAGCTAAGTCTAATATTGAGCAAAATGATAAAGCCAAACAGTGTATAAGAAATAGCACACATTTTAATAAACTAGAAAATAGTTTAGCTAAAAATAGCATAAAAAATAGAAATGATATTAAAGTTCATAAATGTGAAAAATGCAACCAATTAGGACATTACACTAAAACATACCCAAATAAGTAAGTAAAACTTATATAGTATAATAGTAAGTATACAAACTTTATTTACCTCAAATATAGTATATTTATATTGAAATAATTGTTATATGTATTGCTATTTGAGAATAATGGTTTCTTAATTAATCTGATAGATTTGTATTTTATAATTGCATTATAGTTTAATTATATAATATCAATAAATATAAAATGAGTGTATAGTAAAGCACCTTAGAGTATATATTATATATATTTTAAGAATTGTTTTGCTTCATACTCAACTAGCTTTGCATTCAACTAGTAAAATATATATATAGTCTTTTTTTTTTAAATTCAATATTAGCTAATATTCAATAAGTTAAAAATATATAGAATATAGTATATATTGGATTTAAGATTAAGAAAGTTTTAGTTTAAAAGTAAAGTAACAATTATATTCAATTGTTAACTAAAATTTAGCAGTTATTTACCAAGTTACTAGTAACAAAATATTGGTAACAATACTGTATACTTACTATAAATGGCTATATAAAATACCTTTATAGTAAACTGCTTTCTATTATATCCGGGTCAAAACCAGGATTAAGAATTTAGTAAAATATAAAAGACTTTGAGTTTCTTAATTAGTAAGTTATATTTAGCAAAGGAATCTATTTTTCCAAGTAATATGCCTGAGTATTTCTGTATTTAATCAATAGAATATAATATGTCCAAGTTATATATATACAATATATTATATAAATAATTTTGTACATAGTATTATATATATTGCATATCTGAGTTTATTTAGATCAGCAAATCACATAATACTATATTGGTATTTAAAAATCATATAATTTGCTGATCTTGTGTTTAAACACTCTATATACAAATAGAAATACCCATAATAAAATTACTATTTTAGTAATTTATTAATTAAATTTAGTATTTTAATTATTTTATACTATATAATTTTTTAAAAAAATTTATAAAAAATTAAAATAAGGCTATACAAACTTAATAAATTGGTTTTTATAACCTAGCCAGATCAAAATTTCCAAAACTCTAAAAAAAAATTTCAAGTATACTTACTATCCAGGTAAGTTTTTTATAAAAAATCTAAAAAAATTTTACATATTTTTTATATATAAAATTTTTTGAAAATAAAACTAAAAGCCGATTTGCCGGGTCACTTTTAAAAATTTTATGTTATAAGAACTGATTTATTAAGTTTGTATGGTCTAATATATAATTTTTAATATTAATACTTTTGGGAATTGATATTTCTACACCTTATGTAGATCACATTTTTAAAAAACTTTGATTGGAGGTATCTCAACACCCACCTAACCAAATTCGATTACCTTTTTTTTATTTTAATTATTGAAAGCTGTAGAATGCAAAGAAAAAAAGTTGATCGAGTTTGGTCAGGTGGGTGCCAAGTTATCTTTAATCAAAGCTTTTGTAAATTCAAAATGTCTATTGAATATAAGCTATGACAAAATTGTTAACAAACTTTGATTGAAGATATCTCGGCTCCCACCTAACCAAATTCGATCACCTTTTTTTTATTTAAATTATAAAAAGCCGTAGAATTTTTGAGCTATTTTCAATCAAAGGTTTGTAAAATTCAAAATGTCTATCAAATATAAGCTGCAGCAAAATTGTTTACAAACTTTGATTAAAGTTATCTCAGCACCCACCTGACCAAATTCGATCAACTTTTTTTTATTTAAATTATAGAAAGCCTTAGAAGTCAAAAAAAAAAGTTGTTTAAGTTTGGTCAGATAGGTGCTGAGATATATTCGATCAAAGTTTTTGTAAAATTCAAAACATCTATTAAATATAAGCTATGACAAAATTGTTTACAAATTTTGATCGAAGTTATCTCGACACCCACCTAACCAAACTTGATCAACTTTTTTTTCTTTTTATTCTACAGCTTTCTATAATTAAAATAAAAAAAGGTGACCAAATTTGGTTAGGTGAGTGTCAAGATACCTTCGATCAAAGTTTTAAAAAAAGTGATCTACATAGGGGTGTAGAAATATCAAAAATAGGATGTGAAAATATCAATTCTCATAATTTTATTTTAATAAGATATTAATTTTTAATATATAAAAATTGCAATAACAAATTTGCAAAAATTATTAATTTTATATTTGTATAACATTGTACAAATTTGTATAACTTTAATTATCTTAAAAAGTACTATATAAAATTTTATAATTTTTTTTTATTAAAAAGATATAGATTTAAAGAATTTATAATTTAATTTTTAGCTTAATTTCTTACATATTTAGCTCTGTATAAATTTTTGAAAAGTGTCTACAATAATATAGTAGGCCAATATAAATAACTTTTAATTTACTAGTCTATTTTAAATAATTTTACTACCAAAATATTTATCTCTTTGAGACAATTCCAATGAGTCCAAAATCATAAAAATTTAATTACAGGATTATAAGAAAATATGCTGTTAAATAAGGTAATGTACTTATATAGTAAAACAATTAGTTAAACCAATTATTTCACTATACAGATATATTAGGGTAGTGTCATTAATCACCTGATTATTTTTTATTAGAGGCCTACTTCCTTTCCCCCTTCCTTAATATACAAATAGTCAGGTTCCTTATATATAATTTCAACTTTTTTTACCCCCCCTCTAAAAAATCACCTGATTTTTGTCAGCTCCTTTACCTTATTTGATAGTGCATTTTCTTATAATACTGTAATTGGATTTTTATACTTTTGAACTCATTGGAATTGTTTTAAAGAGATGAATATTTTGGTAATAAAATTATTTAAAATGAACTAGTAAATCAAAAGTTATTTAGCTTCAAAGTTTTTTAAAAAATAGCTTTATTTATAAATTACAAAAATCAAAGTATATAGATAGTGTTGCTTTAGCTGAATTGAATTCACAATATATGTTTTCAATAGAGATGAATAGAATAAAATAAAACTTGTAATTGAAGTTTTAAAACTATTTAAAGAT